TTTTTTTTCGGGACGCTAATTCAATAAAATTGTGATATTTTAACAAGAAAGATGATGTTTACTTCTACCCTCTAACATTTCGACTTTGTTGAAAACATTACTGATGAGACCAGTTTTTTTTTCGTTGCCGGCCTTATTCAGGTGTTTGGGTGGATATTCACTCTTTGTCAGATTGTAAGTTAGTATGCCTTTCTAGAGCCCCGAACCTTTCCTCCTCAAAATGGGGCTCGTGGCTATTGCTTTGCTGTTGGCGTTTGTGACATGGATTACGAGCTTTGTGTGCAGAAAAGCAAAGTACATCTATGACCGTCTCTCCGCTTTTCAAGGACCCGTAGCACTTCCTATCATAGGAAATCTACATCAATTCCATTTCAAACCAGAAGGTAATTTTTCTATAATAGTTATTTCTATAAAAGTAGATTTGAATGAGTGAGAAGGGCTATCGATAAAAGAGACACCAGCAGTTACATTAGTAGGCTTGCACAATAACTTGATATTTATCTCAAATATTGCAGAATTCTTCGAGCAAGCACAAGGATTGGCATATATGCTTAGGCGACAACGTGAAAGAGTGTGCCGAGTTTGGTTTGGACGTAGGTTTTTAAAGTAGTGTACTAGTCATTAAATAGAATGGATGAGTAACTATATCCTGACAGTAGCAATATAGGTGAAGTGTTGGAGATGGGCGCTGGAAGAAAATTGGTAAAAAAGGGGCATGCGTAGAAAGATAAGGGTAGTATAAGTGTATAAATTTTGCAATATTATTTCGGTTAAGAAAAGTTCGAAATTCGTTTTATACCAGTGACCATCTGTACTTGACTATTTTTACAAAACTGTTGTTATTCAAACCTCATCTGTAACTTATTTCACAGGATGGAAGAATTTAAAGAGTCCCTGTTATAGCTGCACCGCATGTGCTCTTGTATGGGCCAGAAGAATGCGAAGCAGTTTTGGGTAGTAGCAAAATGCTAAATAAGCCAATTCAGTACGCCTTTCTCTCAGCATGGATAGGAGAAGGATTATTGATAAGGTCAGTTGGTATAAAATCTGCATTTTGATGAATCACTGCCGTCACTTCATTTATTTTTGAAATTTTGTGAACCCTACATGGGTACAGATAAACGCAAACAGCTTTTGAGTGGAAGCAAATTGCCAGATGACATGAGAGCTTCTCTGTACACGTGAGGAGCAAATAAGGAACAATGAATTGCACGATCTTCTGCGCTACTTATATTTGCGATAGACGGACACAAAAAGGGGAAGCAATTTAACAAACCCGTACGAATGTAGGATTATATTTCCTCCGCCTCCTCCCTTTCCTCGCTCTATAGACTTTGTGAATGGGAGGTATCCAAGTTGAAGTTACCTTTCTATAAAGTACATAGAAAAGATTTGCTTCAGGAATAGTGGTAGAGGTAAAACCTCATACAGCTAGAAATTACAGCGCGTTTTGTAACACTTGCCAAATCCTTCATCGCGCAGCTAGTCTTAAACGAATCGTAATTAGATTCCATTTTACTTTGAAAACCTTATATAATAGCTCTAGGAGTTATCTTTCAATGACTCTTGCACTGTTTCGTGTTTATTAGAGGCAAATTACAAAAATTTATGCTAAAATCTTAGAACATCTTTTAGTACGCAGATACGTTTGAACGCATCTTTAGCATTATCGGTCTATAAGCTCATTTACTTACATGTTTCTGTTTCAGTTCTTGCTACCTCGATTGGTGGAACCATTTTTGCCTTTTGCGGAGTGAATATTCTTGATGTAATATTGTAACCTTTTTGACGGTAAATACTTGTAATTCAGAGACGTTCAAACGAAGCTGTTCATTTGTTTTATCGATCTATAGTTTCCCCCTTTTCTAAGGAATTCCACAAACAAACAAATGGATTATAAAGCTCTGCTATTTTTCAAAGCCTCACTATTTTATTTTGGAAGACAAGTGGAGGGCTCCTTACTGTAGAGGCTCCCTACACTAGCAATGTATGGGCTTAGCCCGCATCTACCGCATACACCAGATATTCTAGGTGTTAAATTAAGTAAGGTAGATGAGAGATTTTTTGTTATCTATTGCTACAAAGCTTTAATGCGATAATTCTTACAGGCAACAGAAGTAATATATCCACACACCTGTGTTATACCAGGCATAGTCCGTTGTGTAAATATTCTGAGCATAGAGACACGAAAGTTGTGTGTTTCTGTGCTGATGGAATGCTGAAGTTTTGATCCAATCGGAATATGAACGTAAAACAGTGATACATTCATACATTCATACATGTCAATCAGCCACAGATGTTGGTTGTAGTTGCTGAAGTTCAGAAAAAAACTGCTGTCCATTTCATAACAGCGGTTTCATGGAGGTGACAAAAAGTGTACAAAAAATTGGGAAAATAGGAGATTTTTCAAAGTATTCCTTCAAATTTTTCCCGATTTCGCTCATCAGTCTTGCTCTGTCTTTTCGGAACTAATATAACATTTGCTGCAGTAAGTATTCACTGGTGCCCCCGACGTCCAACATCCACCCCTTCCATTTTCTTCGAATAATCTTGCACCTGGTCCTCCTATCACAAAATGTCCTTACCATGGAGGAAGTAGATATGGTAGGAAAAGGGACGGATATAAGTTTAATCCCGAATTAATGTTCGCAGC